GCAACAGCATCTTAACCATGCCGCGGAGAACGATCATATTCATAAAGGAAATCACACACGAGAGGACATCTTCAAAATGTCGCAAAAAAAGTACATCGTCGTAGAAAACATGACACACAAAGAAACATCTTCACGACGCCGCGGGAGGAAGAAGAATCCATATAGAAAAAATGACACAAAACAATATATTCAAGCTGCTGCCAGAAAATAGGATCATAAGGAATGCAGCGGAGAAGAAATATCTTCATAAGAAAAATGCCTCGCGAGGAAATTCGATCGCAATAACATGATAAAAAGAAAAAGCATTTTTATAAAAGAGTCGAACAGAAGAATATCATCCATATAACGTGATAAAAAGAATCTTCGTAAGAATGCCACACCAGCGGAAATTCTCATAATGACATGGCCTGGGAGACTTCATCACAACACCCCCGGACAGGAATATCGTCAGAAAGGAAATGCAGCACAAACAAGAATCTTAATAGTGACACGAAAAAGGAAACAATCTCTATAAAAATGGCGAGCGGAAGGATATATTAAAAGTACAACGCCGTAAAATAAATCATAGGAAAAAAGAAGCCCCACAGGGAAGATACCTCACAGTGAAGCAACATAAAAAAAAAGGACTTAATAAAGATGAAACAGGAAATATCATCCTGAGAAAAATGTCACACAAACAAACATCTTCATATTGACGCAACAGGAAGGATGTAGGTATTCGAAAATGTAACACAAAGAAGCATTATTATAATGACATGCCAGATATAAGCATCGTTAAAAGAATGCCACACAAGGAAAAAGAGTCACGATGCCGCGGCGAAACAGTACACATCACAGTGAAGTAACACCACAAGAACACAATGATCCGGAGGGAGAGCACCATAACAATGCAGGAGAAGAGGTGCAAAATGATGAAAAATCTACACAAGAAGAATCGTGATAAAAATACAGCACATAAAGGCATATTCATAGAGATGCCAGGAGAAGTGGTATCTTCATAGAGGTGCTGCGAAAAATGTCATTATAAAGGAACCCTCGAAAGAATTTCCGTCAAAGAGATGCCGCAAAGAAGTGTACCCTCACGAAAGAATTAAGTAGAGAAATATATATAATAAAGCCAACCAACACAGCGAGCGTGCCACCGGTATAACCCATGAAGGGATCCCCGCAAAGAATTGATCCACAGGAAAAGACTTTGGGAAGAAAGCCAACTAAAACTACGTTGGCAAAATTACCCCACGTGAAACCAACTTCGCGAAATTAGGCAACATGGAACGGTGCTCGCGAAATTACTCCATGTGAAGCGACGTTCGCAAAATCTGGCCACATGAGGAGGCATATATAAGAAAGAGGCGCCATGAAAAAATAAACTCATAAAAATGCAGAAACATGGAAAGAGCCCTCATGAGAATGATACAACACCAGCGCGCATCGACAGGCACTATGCAGCATGCGGATTGATATGCAAGGAAGCTGCGATATGAATTAACATACTTATAAAAATGTAGAAACGGGAAAAAAACATACACAGGAAGAGTGCAACGTGTAGGGGGATACTGGTGAAAATATCAAAACATCAGAGAATCCACTCCCGAAGAGGATGGGGCATAAGGACGCATTCACAAAAGTAATGTAACTATAAAAGAAACCATATAAGCACAGCGGCTCACCATTTTACGCGGTACTCATCCGATGTGCATATCTGTATTCCATTGCACTCATACGACTTTCAACAGAAAGGCATGAACTTATTTAAACGCTATAGCAGCCCTTTCAATGGTATGCAATATACACTTAAAGTCCAGTATGAAATTATAACTCATATTATACCAGTTCGAATTCAGCAATCCATTACACCCTTTTATATGCATAGGGAGAAGAGGTCATGAGCAATCCTGTAATGTTAAGGAGTAAATTTCTATGCCAAATGAATAATCTTCTAATCGAAATCTGCATATAATGTTAAGTATTTCCTCTTTCTCCCTAAAAAGTTGTACCACTGGTACTATTATCTTTCCTTTTCGTTGGGTTTTCGGGTAGCTCTGTTCTGTAAGACATCAGATGGGCATCAGAATTGACTAGGTTAACACTTCTTATTCCTATGGCAAAGAACTGATCTCATATATAGAGGGGGAAAGATATACATATATGTATGTATATTCATGGGTATATATATGTTCCATACAAGGGTGTAAAGAGCTCAAGAACAAATAGGCTGTTATGGATAAATGATAGCAATGTATACAGGTGTGTAAATTATGTGTATTTTCTCAGCTATTATCTCCCTTAGGACTCTCGAAATTCATTCATCATTAGTTTACACCGAGAATGTGAGTTCCCTTAGAGCTTCTAAAAGAGAAATACTGTAAGATTTTCTTTAATTTACTATAATTAAGGATATGCAAAATGGAAAACGTCGCTATATCTAGGCCTATCTGTTATTAGTAGTGTTTATTCATAATTCAATACTGCAGTTTTTCCACCTTCTGCATGATACATTTCTTGTAATATATTATTACCACTCTGACAATTTAACGACAACCTGGGAAAACAACAGTAAATAGTATTGCCTCTATATGCTCGTAAGAATACAACACGATGCAAAATAAATAACATTCCATATAAGACAGGGTTTATTCACCGCAGAAAATCATTCTTCACATAATTTGCAATTACTTTCAAATCCATCACAATCTAAATTTATGTAACTGCTTCGGCCCATTCTTTTCTTAATGTATGCAAAGAATAAGAATTTTTCTATTCTCCTTATTCTTTGAAGTGTCTCTGTAATTAAATATTAAATATTTAGAAAATTACCCCCATTGGAAAGAATTAAATTTATGACAGAAACCTATCTGTTATTCCTTTTACAAGAAAGTCTCAAAAAAAAAAAAACAAGCGCAAGGCTTAATAATTAATTATATCTCAGAAAGAAAGGTATTGTTCTTAGCTCTTTCACTTTGTAAAATTATATACTTCTATAAATACGATAATACCTAACAGTACATTTATAATATGAAGACATTACCCAGAAAAATAATAAAAAATCTTAAGCAGTCTATTCTGGGCTCACGTAGTACATAAGAAGAAGAGCATACTTCAAAATTTATCGTACTCACTGGAATCTCTTACTTAAGTCCTTTATGTTATCCTTATAGGAAATATGATGAGAGATGTACGTTCAATGTAAAAGAGATAATAAAAAAGAATATTTACACTCTTATGTAAAATTTCCCGCACACACTATTAGAGTAAGAAAAAAATAGGACTCTCTGAACATATAACGCGATCTCTGAAGCCTTATATGGTTTGCCTATTTTGAGCATCTTCTCATTTGTAAACGCCAACTAAAATATATTTTTACATATTGCGAAATGGTGGAAGCCACAAGTTATATGTGATTATGCACATATACCATATACTGTTCCACAAATGTGTAAAGTAGGCATAGAGGGAAACCTTCCATAATGGTCTTTTCTCTAATCAGAATTGTGAGAGGACTTCCGTAGGATATATTCTGACTACGCAGATTCCTACTCTTTTAGTAATTAGTTTCCCTTATTCTTACTTCTTCCCTTGAGTACTGATACTGTTCTTACCATATCGTTTTGAAAACACTTCGATATCATTATTCATCTGTTTCTTCCGATGGATCTGCGAATTCTATATGTTTCACATAAATATGAGAACATTGGAAAAGCATTATAAAATTGCAATATTTCATTACTTTTGCATCCAAGAGGAATGCATAAGAAAATATAAATTAGATAATGCAAGAGAATCGATGAAATCCTAATCACCGTAAGAAAACAGTCTTATAACTATAATAAAAATTATGCAAAGAATTCTCTCTATACACATATGCAACGATATGTATAGGATTATGAAAATCGATATTTCTTTTAAATTGCGAAGCCGTCTATTACAGGTTAAGTGCTGCAGCTATTACACCACAAATGTGACAATATCTATTTAGATCCATTAAAACGGAAAACATAAGGAAGAAATTTGTTCAATAAACAGTTACATAAAATCAAATAATTCAAAGTTTAAATAATGCATAGCAATATATTAGGATCTTCAGGAATCCTGTTAAGGATATTCTCTCCTATTTCTGTTAATTACTTCTCTCCTTTAGTTGATATATGATGATGAACAGTCCATACACAAGATTTGCTGCATATAGACCCCAATCATATCTTCACTTATGCACCATTTATCACAAAATCAGAATTTGCACATAAGGAACGGTTTCCAATGTTGCTCCTATAAATAGGGGCGCAAATTCACGGAATGCGACGCATACAGAATTTGATTTTACTATTCACATAATATTATTTGAGCAGTGCCCTATTCCATCAGTTGATAATACATTCACGCAGGCGTACTATAATCATAACTGACAATACATCGCTTAAAATATCGTTAAGTCCCATAGGTTCCGATGAACTCAAGAATCAAGTGTCATGCGTTACGGCACACTATAGGATTCTATAAATAGTCATAATACAAGAGATATCAAGGAACATATTGAGATGTGTACATTCTATATATTATTAGGTGGATCAGATTATACAATATTGATGTAAGAACTCCGCAAATAAATGAACTCTGTGAGAAAGTGTACTACCTCGCGCACACTACGCAAATAATGCGCCACGGATAGGAAATATATAATTAATTATTAATACGGCATCATTATAAAATATACGTCAACTATATTTAACAAAATATATAATTTCAATGGAAGAAAAAGTAACTTACATTTATTTAAAAACACAATTTTTAATTTACTGCCCACTGCAACAAGAAAAAAAAAATGCACTACGCGCAGAATAAAATGTAAAAGCGACGAATAATTTTTAATGAAAAGCGCTGTAGGAAAATATTTTCGTGGTATTGATTCTATTTATATGAAAACGCTACTATAAAATCGTTTCCAAGTACGATTTTTCCGGGTGAGACATGATTCTTATTCTTGTGAAACAATTACAACAACACTGAGTTCATTTCTTGCATTCATATTATTCACA